GATAAAACTGATTATCATTCTCTAGTCACCATAAACTCGTCCGCGTAAACAGTAGTCATTGCAATCGCGGATGGGGTAACCTCAATTATTGCACTATTTCGATCCCACTCCTTCCAACTAGTATAAATAACAGAAAAAGTCTTATTGCTATATAAATAAACTATAAATAAACTCTGCACGTTTATGGGGTAAAAAGAATTGGTAGCTTAGGTACTGCATCACCTCGTCCTTCTCGCTTCCAAGGTCCAGAATGTACCGGGCGATCACATCGCGCACCAGTATCAGGAACAAGAACCACCATAGATATGTCAGCATGTAGTGCTGTACGTCCGCGATCCATCTAGACGATAATAATGTGTATTAGAAAAACTCAATTTGACATTTTTTCTCTTAATAATTTCAAAGCATTGAGGCTCGCACCGCACGCGCTTGTCGAGACGGGAGCGGATGGCATTGAGCAGCAGTTCAACGACCGGGCGAGAGAGGAAGAAGGCGGCCAGGGTCGCCAGGAGCGCCAACCCCACGCGAGAAAAATCGGATCCCCACGGTAGACTTTGAAATTAATTTCAGAGAATATTTTCTTTCAGTCCGATAGTATCTGTGCTCACTCAACAAAGAGTTATTCGAACAGGGTTTATGTGTCGGCGAGCTGGGTGATGTCGCAATAGAGTGTAGCTCTATTGGATGGTAGCACTTAGGAAGCTTAGCACTGAAGGACTCGGGCGAATGAGGGCCGTCGACGTTCGACTTTGCAGTGTTGTACTTGTTGCGTTGTTGGAAAATTGAGAACTGATAGTAACCACTCAAAAGGTTTAAACACGAAAAGTAGTGACAGCCTTGCATTTTCTCCAGAATCACATCCTTCCGTGGCATTGGGGGTGTTCGACGGACAGTATTCAAGTTCATGGCTCGACAATCATGGACAATTCTCCAGCCGTCCGGTTTCCTAACGCAGAACGTTGGGGCCCCGTGTGGTGAAGTCGAAGGTCGAATCATTCCAGACCTTAACATTTCTTGGACCCACCGCCGAATCTCTGCTTCTTGGGCAGGAGACTGTCGCCACTGCTGACGGGAAATGGGGTTCTCGCTGTGAACTTCCATCGTATGTTCGCCATGCTCCCTTGGCGGAAGTTCCTCCGGCAATTTCTGCCGGAATAGACCTTCATACTTTTGCAAATATGGATAGATAGCATGATCCTTGTAGTCATCAATACTGGTAGCCTTCGTAATTATCTCTGGTTGACGAGGCTGAATTATGAAGACATATTCGACATCTTTGTCTTTCTTAAGAAGACGACGAAATTGCTTTGACGAAATGCACTTCGTTTCACCCGTGTCTACTGAGAAGAAGGTATCCGTTTGGTTTGACGTCTCTCGCTCGGAGCTAGCATTGCCTTGATGACACCAAGACTTCTGATACGCAGACAACAAGTCTCGCAAGCGAACACGTAGCCGAGCGAGTGACGGTCTAATAACCCCTTTCTTCCAGTCGATTAAGGGGTTCACTGTGTGCAACCAGGGGAGGCCAAGAAGAATATCGCGATTATCAGGAACTTCGATGACATAAAATTCTGCAGAATACTCATCAAGGCCATCCATTCGTAGCGTAAGAGGAATTGTTCGCTTCTGCAACGTTGTAGTTCGCTGGTCCGCTAGCTTGAGGTTCAACATAGTCGAATGTTCGACGATCCTCTCAGCCAGTCCATGCTTAGCCAAAAATGTAGGGGTCACCGCATCGATTGTTGCCCCACTGTCTACAAATCCACTGGCCGAAAGAACGTCATCGCCCAGTCGAATTGCACATTGAGTCGTTTTAAACGAACGCGAAGAACGATCTCCGAGCTGAATGTTCACCTCGGCTGAATGAGGATGAAGTTTGTCCCGTTGAATGGGCTTAGGACGAAACCCACTTGATTGCCCAGCATCAAGGGGTTTTACTCGTTTAAAGAAGCCGGAGTCGAATCATTCTCATCCACCACGAGCTTGTCAATCAGGGCGTAGTACTTCGCCTTGTTGTCGGTTTTATCACGCCGTGGTTGGTTTGGAGACCTGGTTTTTCTGTCAGACGGTTGCGTTGGACGCTTCTCAGGAAATTTGACCCAGCAGTCCTCTGACTTGTGAAACCCACGATGACAATTTATACACTTGCTCTTTTGTGGCCTCGGTTTGTTCTGAAGGTTCTGTCTGATCTCTTTGTTGTCCCGAGCATCGCCGTTGGAAGATTTCTTTGGTGTGAAGGCCTGGGAGCTCTTTGATTCCCCCTCAAGAGCTTCTTCAGCAAAACCTTCTGCAATGACTTCCTCAAGGGTCTGAGGGTTCTTACGAAGGATTTGTTTGCGCAATTTGGCGCTAGTCAGGCCCTTCAGAAAGATCTCTTTGGCGAAAGTTGGTTCCAGTGGAACTAACCTGAGTTGCTCTTGGAATTTAGCGACATATCCGTGGTAAGCACCACGCTGCTTGATGTTGAGCAGAGCCGTTCGCATCTTCTGTTGGAAGTTCGGTTCTTTGAAGTTCTTTTAAAGAGAATACTTCATGGCACTCCACGTCTTTATCGTGTCTGGACGCTGCATATACGTCTCGTACCAAGTGATGGCGCTCTTTCTCACACATTGGCCCAAGTCTAGACCAACGATGACTCCGTCCAGCTCTAGGTCGTAGCCTTTGAAGGCAAAATAAGATTCGAACTGGAAAATAAAGCTGTTAAGCTTGACACCATCAATGTCGCCGTCAAACGTCGGAGGTTTGGTGTCCATCTTTCGAAGTGTTCGGTTGCGACCTCCTAATGACATATTGGCGTCTCCTGCTTGGTGAGCCGTCGGTCTTTGGGTTGGCGTAGCCGGCGCTGTTTGCATGGGCTCATGAGCTCTAAGAGCAGCAGTTTGTTGGCTTTGCATCTCGGTAACAGCAGCGGCAACTCGATTTGCCATCTCATTCACTTGCTGCACACTTGCAGCGTTCTGCTGGAGTTCATGGAGAGCAAGAGCCGTATGATTAATAGTTGTAGCTGTCTGTTCCGCAAAAGCCTGCATCTGGCTTACAATCTCAGTGTTCTGATTCGCCGTTTCTTGATTCCTCTCGACAACACCAGACAGCAGTTGAATGCCATCGAGCACGCGATCAAGCCGTTCGTTGACTTGACCCAGGCGACCATCGAGTTCTGCTAATGACTCTTCAACAGAATTTATGCGATCCGTATTGTAGGACTCGCGGTTGCCATCCTCCAACAGTCGGTGACTAGGCGCAGAGTCACTGCGGCCCAACCGGGTGGCAACACGTCGTCTTGGTTCCATCTTTTGAGAGTTGGTCGTTGAATCTGCAAACTCTTCTATGTCGCAATAGATTTTATTATCCACCTTCCTCGCACGTCCGCGGGGTATGACAGTGTTATGGTAGTGGTGGACCAATTGACGAAACGGGCTCACTTTATTCCTGCAATGACAACTGATTCAGCCAAGGATGTCGCGGTGCGATACCAGCAGAATGTGTTCAAATTGCACGGCCTTCCTGAATTAATTCTCAGTGATCGTGACTCCAAGATCACATCGGCATTTTGGACGAGATTGTGCTCTCTACTACAAGTGGAGCAAAAGTTGACTACTGCTTTTCGACCCCAAGGTGATGGAGTTACTGAACGACTCAATCAGACCATCGAAAACTATCTACGGGCTTTTTCCAACGCTGATTCGACTGATTGGGATATTCTCTTGTGCATGGCTGAATTTGCTTATAATTCCCGATATCATTCTGCCATCAAGATGACTCAATTCGAAGCAGATATTGGATATATTCCTCGGACACCAGCTACACTTGGACTGGCCAGCGACCCGATACTTCGAGAAAAAAAAAGACCCACGACTGGGTCATGAATTTGCTGAAGTACAGAAGGACTTACTCGCTAAGGCTCGCCGGTGTATCAGTGCTGCTCACGATAGAATGGCTCAGTACTACAATCAGAACCGCCGACCTCAAATGTTCACTGTGGGAGACGAAGTTCTGCTGTCTGGGGTAAATCTGGCTGAAAAGCATCTTGGAAC